CTTTATTTCTTGAACCACACCCTTCCTCATATTACCCTTTTTCCCAAAAGAAGAAGTGAATGAATTGACCACCTGTTGTTATTTTAGATTTTCATTTTAAAAACAAAATAAAAGATTCTACCTGCTTCTCCTTCTTTCTCTTATCTCCAGAGTTACACGTTTAACTTCATTATGCTGTACCTCAAAATGTTTTTTAAGCAATTTTTGTATTATAAAGAAGATATCATTATGGAAATGTGCCTTAAGTTCAATGGTACAGGACATTATGAATTTGTTCCCATCTTATAAAGCATCAGAAAAGTGTAAAGAAAAAAAAAAAGAAAAAAAGAAAAAAGAAAGAAAAAAAAAGAAAAGTGTAAAGTACTGCAGAATGGATTATATCTGTTATGTCTTCTCTCAAAGTGATAATTTTTTATGATCTTTTATTTTCTGTCCCTTTCTTTTTCTTCACGAACTTTGTCTGTAAAAATCACTTTAATTGCTCAGCTAACCTTTTTTCCCACCCAGGCAAACCATGTGAAGTCCATAGTGATACTACTGTTTTGAGGCTTGATGGACCCTGCTGAGATATTAAACTTGGTTACTTTCCTTAGCGCTCCTTTTTGTTAGTAAGTCTTAACTTTATTAATCTCTGTTAACCTTTCCACAGATTCCTTATTGGGCGAGAAAAGCCAGGAGAAGTGAGCGAGGTCGCCCAGTTGATAAGCCAGACTCTGGAACAGGAGCGGCGCCAGAGAGATCTTGCGGAGCGCCATTACACCCAGTATGATGCTGATGACGATGAGGTAAGTGGAACTTGCAAACATTCTTTTTCCTACGTTTCCTACTTTGTAAAACTCTCTCTCTACCACTTACCAGTGTGACGGGGTTTTTGCAGTTTCTTAAGGAAGACATGTCTACATGGAACTAAAGTATTCAACCTTCCAAAAAAGAAATACTACTTGTATCTGATATTAACTTACAAATCAAATCAGGTATCCTATTTACAGTAAGGAGACTGGGCACAAGTCTTATCTTTTACCACACTATTATAAAGACATTTGTAGAAACAAAAAAGGATAAAAATAACAAAATGTGAATAATGGCTATCTTCATTGCTGGGATTAGGTGATTTTCTCTCTCTGCTTTATATTTTTTCAATCTTTTCCAAATGTTCTACAATAAGTATGTGATGCTTTT